TAACCTCTCCCAAACATACGTGAATGTTACCTGCCCCACATGGATATGAACCATTTCTGAGGGTTTTTACTGATCAGAATGGAAAATTCATTCAACAAATCACTGGACACACACCATGTCCCAAGGTCTTTGAAATCTGTTCTAACACCACCACCACACCCCACTGAGCAGGGCTCATACTTGCTGAAGCCTGCAGTAGCCCATATTCATTCTCCGAGATCTGTGTCATTTTTGTGGGTTCATACCAGCTAATTAAATGGAATGTAACAGGAACTTGCTGCCCCCTTCCCATCCCGTCCTTTAGGTCTTCAATGGGGGACTAATTTCCACCACGGCCCTCATGTGTAATCTTCTTTATTTTGTTGCCTAGGGAGGGTTGTTTTCAGTTTTCCCACCAATTATTTCACACAGCCAGGATTTCATGCGGGTATTTTGCCAACTGCTGAATATGTCAATCCCAACAACATGTGCTAGAATTGGAGAAACCAGCAGTGGTAGATTTATGGGACCCAACAGACCCACTGTAAGCTGGTTTATCCAGAATTTCATGTACTCCCTGACTACTTAAGTCCCATTCTAACCCAAGACCATGACAATACTCTGGGTCTCAGGACATCACCATCACTGAGACTCGAACCCAATAGCACTCCTGTTCCCTGGTGGCCCCTCTTCTCTGAGTGCAGTCACCAAGTAAACGGCCATGGGTCTCATTGGGAAAGGACGAGGAAGTAATTTTCTGTATACTTGCCTTAGGACTGCAGCATAAACCACGTCTTTTTTTGGGAAGGGTAGGGACACACCCAGTGATGCTCAGGGCTTACTCTTGGCTCTAAACTTAGGAATCACTCCTGACAGGTTTGGGGGACTATATGGGATGCCCAGGACCTAACCTGGGCCTCGTGTCAAGGCAAGCACCTTACCTGCGAATCTGTGTTTTACGTTGAAAAGATCTTTGACAAACCAGGTCATAATCCTCAGTGACTTGCTCCTTCAGCTGCTCTTGGAATTGTTTGTTTGTTTAGTTGTTAGTTGTCAGCCTATTTTGACTTTATGGATACTAAGGTCTATATCCATCTTGACATCTTCCTGTGGACAAAGATCCCCTACCTGCCACTCCTGTCACTTTAAAAAAAATTGTGACTTTTGATGACTTAAATGTAAATCATATGGCCTCGTTACTTGGGAGATGTGGACTATCACCTCGGAGTTGCTTAAGCATGCTAGCTCTGTGTCTGTTATCAGCCCAGGGCTGTGAACATCTTCAGGATCCTGTTACTTTTTCTTCTATTTTTTTTCTTTGGTTTTGGGACACACCAGGCAACGCTCAGGGGGTTCCTACTGGCTCTGCACTCAGGAATTACTGTTGGTGGGTTCTGGGGACCATATGGGATGGCAGAAACGAACCTGGGTCAGCTGCATGCAAGGCTAACGCCCTACCTACAGTACTATTGCTTTGGCCCCCTTGTTGCTTTTCTTACCAGAGGATTTCTGAAGGCCTGAGTGAACGAAGCAGTTTCTGGGCTTTCTTGTGGAACATAATTATTTGACAGATTTTCTGGCCTCACGCATATATCCATTCCTGCGTGTCCACTTGCTTGTCCTTTCACATGTGCTACTACCATAGTCCAGAGTGGCAGAACATTTCTTCTTTGCTCAAGATTGGCAGTTGCGGGGCTGGAGCAATAGCACAGCGGGTAGGGCATTTGCCTTGCTCGCGGCTGACCCAGGTTCAATTCCCAGCATCCCATATGGTTCCCTGAGCACTGCCAAGAGTAATTCCTGAGTGCAGAGCCAGGAGTAATCCCTGTGCATCGCCAGGTGTGACCCAAAAAGGAAAAAAAAAAGGCAGCTGCTTTCTCTCCATTTTTGAGTCCTTCAGCAGCTCTACATCTCCAGGAATCCTTGCCTGAGTCCCAATCCTGTGTCTCAAGAAAGTACCCCTTCCGAATGCCCTGCCACAGAGGCAGGGTGGGATGGGGGGTGGGAAATGGGCACTGGTGGAGGGATGGGTATTTCATCATTGTATAATTGAAACCCAAGCACAAAAATTTGTAAGTCTACAACTTCATGGTGTCTCACTAATAAAAAATTTTTAAAAAAAGTACCCCTTCAACTATACCTCAATCAAAGAAATGAAAGAAAAAAGGAGGGGGAAGTGCCCAAAACCTGGGATTGGAGAGACAGTAGAGTAGCTAAGGCACTTGTGCTATAAGAAACAGACCCAATCGATTCCCAATACCACATAAAGGCCCCTGAACACCATGAATGATCCCTGAGCACAGAGCCAGGAGTACTCCCAGAGCAAGTTGGGTGTGGCCCCAAAATAAAAATAATCAAATAATGTAAGTGCCCTCACATCAATGTATTCTTGACTCTGTTTAATTCAGTTCTCTTGATCAATATTGACTAAAACTCAATCCCACGTTATTCCTCTGGCTTCCGTTTGTCTTATTTCGACAGCTCCTTTGGAGAGAATCTCCTTTTTCCCATTGTCAGCCCCAGTATATTTTCAGTTGGGTTATGCTGTGATTAATCCCAGTCATTAACATGGCAGTGAGAAGAGATCGAAGCACCTTCTGGGATGCTGGCAGGGGTCGGGGTGCAAGTGGCTCTGCAGAGTCCTTCAGCATGGGTGGGGGTTACTAGCTCTTGTGTGAAGAGGTGGATTACCTCTACAAGCTTCTAAGCTTTAGAGATGGCCATGGATTCCAGGATATCTGGTACAGATGTACTGTGCCGACTCGACCTCTGGTTTTCTTTTTCTTTGGCGGGCTGGGGGGGGGGGGGGAGGGAGTCACACCCGGCAATGTTCAGGGGTTACTCCTGGTTCTGCACCCAGGAATTACTCCTGGTGCTGCTCAGGGGACCATATGGGATACCAGGGATGGAATTCAGGTTGGCCGCCTGCAAGGCAAATGCCGTACCTGCTCTCTGTGCTATCACATCGGCCCAGGACCTCTGATTTTCTTAGCCAAGATCCTTACCTGTTTGCACTGTACATTTATATGTCTCTGGAGCATTGTGTCTCTATTATTTTTTTTAAATTTTTATTACTGAAACAACATGAGGTACCGTTGTAAACTTACAAATTTTTGTGCTTGGGTTTCGATTATACAATGATCAAATACCCATCCCTCTACCAGTGCCCATTTTCCACAACCACGGATCCCAGTATCCCTCCCACCCCCCCATCCCACCCTGCCTCTGTGGCAGGGCATTCCCTTTTGTTCTCTCTCTTCTTTGGGTGTTGTGGTTTGCAAAAGAGGCAATGAGTGTTGTGCCTCTATTATGCCTTGAATTTGTAATTAGTAATTGAGTCAGTTATTCTAGGAGTAGGAGAGAAAAGGCCTCTTCGTAAGCTAACGAGGTTCACTGCCTCTTCTTTCACACTTGGCTACTAACTGCAGGAGAGCCTGGCATTTTCGTCAGTCCTCTTCAGTGTCATGTCGACGAGCATTATGCAGCTGACTCTACTGTCCTCATGGATGTGGTACCTTTGATATATTTCAAATGCCTGAAATTGTACCCATGAGAGCTTTCTCCTCCACTTGGATAGTTTTCCCAGTTCACCAAATCTTTAAAAACCAGGTCAGCACTGTATGCTAGAAACTACTTAATCGCTTTTATTATTGTTATTATCACTATTATTATTAACTTCTCTCAGTACTACTTGTGCTAGTTTAGGTTTTCTAAAAACAGGTGCTAAGGAGGGGAGGGGGAATTCATATATATATATATGTTTTTAAGTCTTTAATATAGCAATTTGGGGAATACACAATTCAGTCCATGAAAACCTGCAAGAGATTTATTAGGGGAAATATCTGTGAAAGACAGAATGGAAGAGAGTAGGAGGTAGGAGAATCTGCAAACTGAGGTCCAGGTCTGACAGCTGTGAAGGCGAGAAAAGACAGGGGAGCCTTGTCATCCAGCAGCAGCATCCACCAACTGAGCAGGAAGGTGCTTACCAGTACATCAGGAGCTATGGAGGAACATGCCAGATGTAAATCTGGCTAAGACGAAGTACTGATCCTCAAAATTCTCATAGTACATCAGGCAGGGTGCCTGCCTTACACATGGGTGACCCGGGTTTGACCCTGAGCAACCTATATGTTCCCCAAGGCCTGCCAGGAATGATCCCTGAGCTCAGAATCAGGTCTAAGGTCTGAATAAACCTGGGTATGTACCCCCACCCCCAGATTTTTAAAAGACCCTCCTATTAATTTTTAAAAAATATTTCAGTTTCTTATTTGTGCATTATCTCGTTCATTCTGACCATCACAGTCGATCCCTCTCCAGGATCCAGGTGCTTAGTTCCCCCAGATGTTGACACACCTTCAATTTCTCAGTTTAGTTCTCTCCCTCTTTCTTTGCTATATTCTTTTTCCTTTCTCCTTTGCACGGTTCATTCTTATTTTTATTGTTTTATATGACTCATATTTTTCTCAGAGGGATATCTGGTTCAACTTTTAATTAAAACCATTTACTAAATTGAATTATGGGCAAGACACTCTATTGGGTACTGAATTTTTATGACATATTGATTCCTCTTCTTGGGAGAACACGACTGGCTTCCCATGATACCCTTTCACTTGCCAGAGACAGTGCAAAATCACATTTACTTAGAGGAGAGTCAACATTCAAGTTATTCTGTGAAAGTCGCGTTACATGTAAAATTAGTGGGGGGTCACAGAATACCTTGCATCGCCAGATACTCAGGGATGACTATGTACTTACACTGGTCATCTATGTGGGGAGAGGTCTAGGCAGTACTAGATATTAATTACAAATCGCACTACTGGTGATGGGTGTGAAGCTAAATGATTGTATGCCTGAAGTTTTGATGGCTTTGTAAGAATTTGGTGCCTACATAAAAAAAATGAAACTCAGAAGAGCAAGTCTAGTGAATTTCACAAGTATTATTCAATAGTTTTATTTTCCACTAGAAACGTGCTCTTGATTCCTAGACGAGAAACCTAAAGAATCCCTTTCTTTTCTTTCGCAGGTGATCTCTCCTATTCAATCTGGTTGTCACAGAGACAGGCAAAAAGTGCTGGGATTATTTTCCTTTCATATCCTAGCGCAAACACAAAGAGCAACAGCAATATATTCAAGGGGCTATCAGTGAATGCAGAATGCCATCCTATTCTCGCAAATCCCACGGATCTTCCCCGTTTTATTAGTGTCAAATACCTGGATTGGCATGAGATGAAATTCTGGTTTAGGGGCTGCAGCGATACTTCAGTGGGGGAGGGTGTTTGCCTTGCACGCTTGCACGCGGCCGATCTGGTTTCACCCCATATGGTCCCCTGAGCACTGCCAGGAGTAATTTATTAGTGCAGAGCTAGGAGTAACCCCTGAGCATCGCCGGGTGTGACTCTCCCCCCCACCACAAAATTCTGGTTCAATTAACGAAGGTCGAACAATCAATGATGGGGGAAACAGATGAACAAGACCCAAACGACACGTTTCTGTATTTGCCCCGATCTAAGTGCAAGTAGGAATGTCACTTGAAAGCTGCCAGCCTTAGAGCAAGTACGTCCCCAGAAATGTCACATAAATGCTGGCATTCCCTTTTCGGACATGCACGATCCCTAAAGTGACCACACAACGTGCTTTCTCTCCAGAACAAGACTTTGCACGTGCGTCCACGGAGCGGTGCGCTCACTTGGCTGCCCTTGGGGTAGGGAAGCAGGAGGCACCGAACGGGGTAGCATCGTCGGGAAATTCTTCACGAATCAACAGGAAAAGCAGTGAATTATCTGAGTCCTGGTTTCGCGACAGCGGGTCCGAAACCGGTAACTGGGGACAGGGAAGAGCCAAGTTCACTGGTTAACCCCCTGGTCGGTCGGAAACGGGAAGATATTTTTGAGTACGACCCACCACCTCTACCCTGCAAAGGGGCCACGGGAGAGGATTCTCCCGCGCGACTGCTCCAGACGCACTGTCACTGCGCAACCTGAACCTCCCGGAGGTCGCACCTCCGCCGGAAGAGCGGGGAACCCCGGCAAAGGGCTGGGACCGTGGAGAACGCGGCGGAAGTGGGGCCGACGCGGAGCTCCAATCAGCTCAGAGTTCGGACAGCTTCCCTCTCCGGATACGTCCGCTCAGTTGCCAATCTTGGGGCGGGGCCACGCCCTCTCTAAAAGGAGCCGCGCCGGTCCCGCTCACAGCGCCCCTAGCAACCACCGCGGTTTCCCGCGGAAGGACGGTCCCGGTCCCGCCCCCCGCCGCGAGCGTCCGCCCAATCAGCTCGGCAGCACCAGGGCTCAACCAATCGGAGGCAGGTGCACGGGGGCGGGAGGAAGGGGTCGCCGGCGCACGCGCCGTGGGGAGCAGGCCCGAGTTGTGTGGCGGTGCGAGTGGAGTGCCGGCGAACTCGTGTGGGCCCTCGGGAACGCCGCGGAAAGCGCTGCCGCCGTCGCCATCCCTCATCATGTTCCTCACCCGGTCCGAGTACGACAGGTCCGTGCGGCCGGGGAGGGGGCCCGGGGTTGGCGTACCGGGGGCGGCGCCGGGGCCGGGCTGCGGCCCGGGTTCTGCCGTGTCATGCGGGAGCCCGAGTCAGGCCCACTGTGGCTCTCTCCCCGTGCCCCGAAGCCCGCCGCGACTGCCCCCGGGAGACCCGCGCCCCGGGAGACCCGGCCGGACCCGAGCCCACGGCTGAGTCACTGCTGGGTCCCGCCTCGGTGCGGAAGCGAGAGGCTCCGCTTGGTTCTCGGGGGGGGGGGGGGGGGGGGCGCCGAGACTCCGACCTTTAACCCGGAAGGTCAGGGGTCAGACCCTCCCTGCCGAGTGTGAGAGCTTTTAAAAGTTTTATTTATTTTTAAAGTGCCGCCTGGAAGAACAGTTGGAGTGCGTATCTCACCTGGGGTGGGTCATTTCCGTCTCTCTCTCGGGTTGGGGGCCATCCCGGGCGATGCCCTGGGATACCCCTGTCCGCTCTCAGGGTCACCCCTGGCAGTGCTGGGGCACCGTCCGGGGCTCGGAGAGAGCTGGGCACACGCCTCCCCTCTGTGCCGTCCCTTCCAGGAGCACCACCCCGGGCACCCCGTGCCTTAGCGGGACCCAAGAGCCACCTTCCCTCCGCTAGGGGTGAAAAGTGGCCGCAAAGACGCAGAAACACCCCCAGTAACGTCCAGCTGGAGGTTTGAGGAGTTCTTGGGAGTTTTGTCCTGCCTAAGAATTCTTTAAGAATGCAAGTTACAGTGCATACTAAAAAGTATGTATTGAAGGCACAGTACATACTAAGAAGTATGTATCGAAGTCCTCAACTAAGGAATTGAGGTTGAAAATTTGTAGTTACTTTTTTAAAAAAAAAAAAAAACATGAACTTTTGGGGTCTGGAAACGGTAAACTGCACATTCATTGCAGGTTTCCTCCGTAGTCGTTCTTTTATTTTCAGTTTCTGTTTTGGTCACTTGAGTTCTGACAAAGCCGTAGGTGTGCGGCTGTCATTGTTTGTGATTTCTAGAAACCCTCCTTGGCAGATGGTTTCTTTGTGGAGAGGAGCTTGAGAAGCTGAGCTCCTTGTTAAGTGTAAAGTGACCCTGTCAGAAGTTTTAATCACTTAAAATACTTTTTTTTTTTAACAGTCATTGGCTCATAGGGGGTATTTTGAAACTTTCCCTGCTTCTGTAGTGTTTAACTTTCAGAGTCTACAGAGAATCATTTTTGAGAGATAAACTTTAAGCTGGCCGGGCTCTCGGAGAGGGGTGGAGGAATCGAACCCGGCTTGGTCCGGCTGGCTGCGCAAGCATAGCGGTAGAGCGTTTGCCTTACAAGCGGCCAACATGGTCGACCCGAGTTCGATTCCTCCGCCCCTCTCGGAGAGCCCGGCAAGCTACCGAGAGTATCTCGCCTGTATGGCAAAGCCTGGCAAGCTCCCCGTGATGTATTCGATATGCCAGACACAGTAGCAACCAAGTCTCCAATGGAGACGTTACTGGGCCCGCTCGAGCAAATCCATGAACAGCAGGAGGACCGTGACCGTGAAACTTTAAGCTAGGCTGTATATGGCAGAAATCGTTATCCTTAACAGAAAGCCCTGGGACCAGAGGTATATCTTTCGGATTTGAGCTCACGCTTTGCTTGTGGGAGGCCCAGGTTCAATCCCCACCTCTAACGTCCAGTGCCACCAACCAACTACTGCTCCATTTGACCCCCAGAAAAATGTCTGTATTAGAATTTTTGTTTGCTTTGTTTTGGGGCCTCAGTTGGTCATCAGTGGTTGATTACTCTTTCCTGATTCTGCACTCAGGAATTACTCTTGGAAGTGCTCAGGGGAATGATATGGGATCCCAGGGATCAAACCCAGGTTGCCTATTTGCAAAGCAAACACTGTACTATGCACTCCCTGTACTATAGCTCTGGCCCCTGTGTTAAGGATTTTTGAGGGGGCTGGAGTGATAGTACACTGGGTAGGGCGGATGCCTTTCTCGTGGCTGGCCTGGGTTCGATTCCCAGCATCCCATATGGTCTCCTGAGCACCGACAGAAGTAATACCTGAGTGCGGAGCCAGGAGTAACCCCTGAGCATTGCCAGGTGTGACCCCCCCCAAATAAAAGGGATTTTTGATTGTTTCCTTAGCATCTATACTTCGTTACTCTTTTTTTTTTTGTATCTTAATAACTAAAACAGCACCTTATAATCACTTAGCTCATGAGTATGTGCTGCATGTAGACATTTTCAGATGCTAGTCTTACAGCTCTGAAGAAAAATCAAGATCCTGCTTCTCAGGCAACTTTTTTTGTTTGCTTGCTTTTGGCCACACCCAGAGGTGTTCTGAACTTACTTCTGGTAGAACAGCAGTAACTAGGTGGTGCCAAAGGTTCATCTTGTGTTGACTGCCTGCAAGGCAAGTGCCCTACACAGTGTTATCTTGCCCATGACTTTTTTCCTTTTGGGTCACACCCACCGATTCTCAGGGGTTACTCCTGGCTCTGCACTCAGGAATTACTCCTGGCGGTGCTTGCGGGACCTTACGGGATGCCAGGGATTGAACCCTGGTCGGCCGTATACAAGGCAGAGTCCCTGCCTGAAATGATATTGCTTCAGCCCTGGCCCATGTCTTAAAGAACTTCTTACAGAAATTAACTTGACTCAGATGTATTGTCATTGGTGAAATTCAAATTGGCGTGAGTTTAGATGAGAGTTCATTCAATATCACGGAATTGTGGAAAGTTTCACAAAGGAATGATACTTAAATTGAATCTTGGAAAAGAGTTTCAGTAAGTACGGATTATAAGAGTTGATTGTTGAGGGATAGTAAGGTGATGTCAGATCCGGAATGATTTTTATTAATTTGGGGGGGGTTATGACAAAGGGCTTCTCAAGCAGTGTTAAGGGGTCTGGGGTCCATTCCTGGCACTATTTGGCCCTGTTGACCTATGGTTCAGTGCTGGAGTGGGCCCTGTGGTGCCCAGACTCACTAGATTACCACTGACCATGCTGGGGGCCTCCACAGACCACCCATACTTGGTGCTGGGGCTACTCAGCATCAAGGCCATCGGCCTACACCCAGAAATGTTCACGAGGCTATGGAATCAAACCCTAGTTGGATGCATTCTAACCTCTGTGCTATTTCTCCAACCCTCATACTGATTAGGGGTTTTTTTTTTTTTTTGGAAGCACTATTACTATATTGTTACTGATAGGTTTTCATGCATACAGCTGAATGGGTTTTTAATACAGAGTTAAGGAGTTTGAAACTGATTGTGTAAGCACTTGTGTGTTGATTTTTGTTTTACAAAGTTACATAATCATAATTGTATTCTATAGGATTGATTGGATTAACTCAGAGAGATAGTCATTGCCAGGTAGGTGATTACAATAGGTGAAAAGTAAGGAGGTCATTAAGAATGGAAAGAAGAGAGTCTTAAGTAACTGCAGAGGAATTGATATGCTTTGGCATATGGATAATTATGGGAGAAGCGGAAGAGTAATGCGCCTGATTATTAAGAACTTTCTAGGTTGGAGAATTAGGAGTTTGGAGAGGTTTTGCCACTGAAGTAGGAGTGGAGAGAGATGAAGCCGATTTTACAGTGCTGGCTGGGTTTAAGGATAGATTTCAGGGTCAGAGAGATTGTACAGTGAGTAGGTTGCTTGCCTTGCATGCAGCTAACCTGAGTTTGATTCCCTATACCCCATAGTCCTCCGAGCACTGCCAGGAATAAGCCCTAGGGTGCCCCCCCCCAAATTTAAACTGGAAAGTGTTGTGTTTGGTACTCACAGGTTACCAAGTGTAAAGCTCAGACAGCATGTCAGGAAAGAGGTAAACTGGTAGTAAAGATTTTAGCTAAAATAACAGCTGAGATAGGAAGTAACGCAGGGAAAGTTTCAGTAGAGGGTCTAAAGCAGAGCCGTATTAGGGAGAAACTGTACCTCAGTAGGGTGAACTTCCTGGACTAGGGTGAAAATACTATAGTAATAAAATACTTTACAGAATTCTTTTCATATCCTATGCAGAGCAATTCTTACTGTTTAATCACAGAGACAGGGTAAGTTTTGTTTTTTTCTGTTTGAGGAAATTAAAATTTACAAATAGCAAAACGAGAATTTAATCCCAGATTTTTTGTATACTTTCCTTTGGTGATTTTTGATAATTGTACCTTAAACTTTCTTAAGTGACCTGAGGGATATTACTCAAGGACTAACAGGAGTCTGTGATTGTGAGATTCTCCTCTGACAGCAAGGCAGGTTTGAGTGATTGGTCTCTTTCTTCAGATTATGTGTTGAATGACTTTGGACAAATTACTTAAGTGTCTCTGCTTTAACTTAATAAGGTATCAATTGGTATTACCCAGTAGAATAAATGGTATTTCTTGGGATTTGTTTTGAGGGTTAAGTTATTAGAACAGTGTCGTGCATAAAAAAAAGATATGCTATAATATCAATTTTTCATTCGGGGAGCCAGCGATCAGTGCTAGGGTCTGAACATTTGTAGGGCTGCCTTGGGCCCTACAGTGGTGCTCAGGGAATACTGGTGGCTCTGTGTTTGCCCACTGCAGTGCTCAGAAGACTATATGGTGCCAGGGATCTAACCTACGTCTGCTACATGCAGGGCAAGTACCTGCCCTTAGGTTGTTGTTTTTTTTCATCTGGCAGTGCTCAGGGGTTACTCCTGGATCTGGCCCTGGCTCTGCACTCGGGAATTACTCCTGGCGGTGCTTGGGGGACTATATGGGATGCCTGAGGTCTAACCCAGGTCAGCCGTGTGTATAAGTCAAATGCCCTACCTGCTGTACTTTCTTAAGTGACCTGAGGGATGTTACTCAAGGACTAATTACTCAAGGACTATCCAGCTCCTGCCCTCATATTTTTAAAGTGTCCACTCTTGAAAACTTAATATTTCAGATCAAATTTGGTGCCTCTTGTTTAGGAATTTCGAATAGGATGAAACAAAGAAAGGTGGAGGAAGTGTTTTAGGGAAATAATCTGACTTGGTTTTTGGACCAGCAGGGGTTATTACTGGCTTTGTGCTCAGGAATAACTTCTGGCAGTGCTTGGGGTACCATAAGGGATGCTGGGGATCAAATCTGGTTCTGCCATGTGCAAGGCAAACTCTTTTCTCACTGTACTATCTGGCTCCAGAAGTAGTCTGACTTGTAGTTGGTATAAATATATATTGTTTGAATGGACTAGGTTAAGCTTAAGGAACTACAATGATATAACAATACAAGGTAAAGGTAAAGGCCCTCCCGTTGATCGTCGATTTGCTCAAGCAGGCCCAGTAACGTCTCCATTGGAGACTTTGTTGTTACTGTGTCTGGCATATCGAATACTCTCGGTAGCTTGCCGGGCTCTCCGAGAGGGGCGGAGGAATCGAACTTGGGTTGGCCATGTTGGCCGCTTGTAAGGCGAACGCCCTACCGCTGTGCTATCGCTCCAGCCCATAACAATACAAATTCATACAAATTCATTGGGGCTAGAGAGAGAGTACAGTGGGTAAGGTGGCTCACCCCAATTTGATTCCCAATACTGAGTATATATCCCTTTAACAACATCGTGAGTGATTCTTGAACACAGCCAGGAGTAAGCCCGGAGTGCCTCTGAGTGTGCCCCAATTCCCCCATTTCTCCAAACCGCACAAATTCATATATATAAAGAGAAGCACTTGTGACTGACTTCCACTAAAATAATAGATATTTTTATCAGATGGACATAATGTGAAGAGGATAGTGTACGTTTTGGAGGGGATTGCCTGAGAGTTCATGGGCATGAATTTACTCAAGGAATTCTAGGAGATTGACTAAGAATCAAAGCGGAAAATCATAAGCTATTGTTTGACCAGTTTGAAGACTTATGGGATTGAGGTAGAAATGTTTCTAAATAGGGTCCATTTCCCTACAAAATTGAAAACAAAAAGAGGTGGGGGCATTGTGTGCCTGAAACCCTATTATAAACAACTTTGTAAATCACGGTGTCTTTTTAAAAAATAATTTATAAAATAAAAGTAAAAAATACAAAAATAAAATGACAGATTGTGGTGGGCATAGAAGAATATTAACATCTATATTTTGTGACCATCTGAACTAGATATCAGAGGATTTGAATTTAACATCTCATTATTTTTGCCTGAGAGTTTTTAATTGTTTTGTTTGTTTAATTATAGGGGTGTGAATACTTTTTCTCCTGAAGGAAGACTGTTTCAAGTTGAATATGCCATTGAAGCTATCAAGGTTTGGTATCAAGTGACATAATGCTTTGCTGACAGAACATTTGGAGTATGAATGAGTAACCATTGCTTAGAAAATATTTTTTATTGTCCTTTAATCAACCAGCATCAGTCGTTTTTATAATAATTTCAGTTCTGTTCCTGACATCTGTTTTAAGGCTTTGGAACAGATAATTGCTTTATAATTATGTGTGGGACTTTTTTCTTAGTGGTATGGAAGGAGAAGTTTCTGTTTATAATCTTGGCTATAAAAACAAGAGTATAGCATTTACACTTGGAAGGTATTTGCTGCCTTGATCAAGTTTAGGTGAGAATTTTGTTCTTGTAAGTAAAATAGTGAATTAGGCACTTTTAGGACTGAACAAAAGATGTGTTCACGGTGTAGTAAGGGATTGAGACACCTTCCTTGCAGCAGACCCCACCCCAGTTCACTACCTTCCTTGACCCCTCTCTTCCTCCCCATCACTGGGTACAACCAGGAGGCCCCTGAAAATCACTAGCGTAGCTTGGGGTTAATCTGTGACACTGCAGGATTTAAGCAGCACTACAACCCCGAACTTGCTGGTCCAGTTGGCTAAGAATCTCAGGGAAGGGTCGTCAGGTCTCCTGAGCATTACTTGGGAGACCACACCTCAAACAAAAAAGTGTGCCCTGTAATTTAGTAACTAGATCAAATAGTTGTTACCAGCTTTTTTTTTTTAAAGTGCGCTATCTATAGGGCTGGAGCAATAGCACAGTGGGTAGGGCGTTTGCCTTGCACTCGGCCAACCTGGGTTCGATTCCCAGCATCCCATATGGTCCCCTGAGCACCGCCAGGGGTGATTCCTGAGTGCAGAGCCAGGAGTAAGCCCTGTGCATTGCCAGGTGTGACCTAAAAAGCAAAAAATAAATAAAGTGTGCTATTATTTCAGATTTACCATATGAAATCTGTATTTGTTGGATTTTGGGTAATCTAAATTCTGATTTCAGTTATCTAGGATAAGTTTCAAGCATAGTTATAACGACTTTAATGTCTAGTAAAGGTTGTTAAGTGTTGATATAGCCCAAGTTTTAATTCAGTGCATTTACTTCCCCCGCCCCATATTCATCTAGTTCTAATGACAGTATTTTCTCATTAGCTAGCTCATTCTCTTAGAAACTACTACATACTTTGAAATTTGAAATGTATCCTTTTATTGAGCCAAAAATCAGGGTTCCTGATGATTCTTTTTACTCTTGAATCACAGTAAAATGTTTGTAAATGTAATTTTTTCTCTCTCTCTCTCTTCTTTCCCCTTCATTACCATTATTGAATGAACAGGAGTTTGCACATACTGGTCACACCTTTGTGGTGCTGGTGTAGTGACCATCAGGGATCACACAATTTTCAGTTGTTCACTTGATTGCTATTTGTGGAGATGACACACTTTTTGTGTGGAACCAATAATCCCCAATGGCAGTGCTGCTGGAATGGCACTTATGTGAGGTGGTGCTGTACTTGCCATTTTATGATGGCAAATGGTTACTATACCATTGAGCAGTCCCCATAAAGATGTTTAAGCCTCTACAAAGACTGCTCCTTGAGTAACTGGAGAGAGTTACAATGTGTTCCTCCAAGTTACTTCTTCTAGAAAGACTGCTGGGGCAAAAGGTTGCATGAAAATTTGAAGAGGGCCAAAGAATTTCTGATTGAAGATTTAGAAATGAAGGTAGAAGCAATATAACAGTGGAAATGAAGGCCCAGCTACAAGTGTCTTATTTCTGTTTCTGATCATCTTTGACCTACTGTAAAGTTTGAAACCATCAATTCTAAGATATCACACTCATTTTGAACCTGAGTTAAGAAACCAGATTGCAGGGGGTGCTGGAGTGGATAAGGTGTTTGTCGCTAAGTCAGGATTGGTCCTCAACATCCTATATGATCCCTTGAGTTCTGCCAGGAGTAAGCTCTAAGCACAGCCAGGTGTGGCCCCCCCAAAAAAAGAAACCAGGTTGCGGGCCAGAGGGCCAGAGTGATAGTTCAGTGGGTAAAGTGCTTGCTTGCCTTACACACAGCAATCCATGGCAATGCATATAGTCCCAGAACATTGCTAGAAATGATCCCTGAGAGCAGAGGCAGGAGTAAGCGCAGAGCATAGTTGGGTGTAGCCTCAAAACAAAAATGGCCCAGGTGTACAGGCAAGAGTAACCTCAGTTTTGGGTTCACCCTTAAACTTCTTAGTTCTAATAGTTTTCAGGTTGCTGAGAGATAATGAGTGGTACCTGATCTCTGTAGCATTACAACTAGAGATAGAGCTGGGGAGATAGTGCAGAGGACTGCTACATTTGTTTTGCATACTAGAGACCCGGATGTCATCTCCAGCATTGTATGGTTTCCTAAGCAACTTGAGGTGTGACCTCCCTCTGCCCCCCAAGTGCTATGCTAGAAGTAGCCCTTGAGCCCTGCGGGGTGTGAATGTAAGCAGAGAGAGAGAGAGAGAGAGAGAGAGAATGATGTGTTGATACAGGCTGGAGCTTAACCTCTGTGAAAATACAGGCTCTCTTGAGTTTAGAGACTAGTTTTTAGTTGCCTTGGCAACTTAGGAGTAGTTAATAAGAACAATTTGGTTACCATCAGGAGTTATATTAGAGGAGCTGAGGAAATGCCAAAAATGACTGAAATTATCACTTGGAAGTGCTGTATGGTTGACATTGGTGAGATAGAGCCAGGAGAGGTGGGGAAAATGTCCTTAGGATATATGTCTAGGGGGAAAAAGTGTAACAGTCAATTATTATTGTAATATTCTGACAGCTTGGTTATATGAGTTACTTTAAGGAGATAGTGGATAGAATCCTTTCAGATACTGCTTCTTCACCTTCTCTGTCACCCCAACCCTCATTCAGATGAGAATCACCGTCACGGTCCTCCCGTTGTTCATCGATTTGCTCGAGCGGGCCCAGTAACGTCTCCATTGGAGACTTTGTTGTTACTGTGTTTGGCATATCGAATACGTCACGGGAGCTTGCCAGGCTCTGCCGTGCGGGTGAGATACTCTTGGTAGCTTGCCGGGCCCTCCGAGAGGGGCAGAGGAATCGAACTCGGGTCGGCATATTGTCTATGTGTGCAAGGCAAACGTCCTACCGCTATGCTATCGCTCCAGCCCCCTCATTCAGATGGAAGGAAGGAATAGTTTTGGCAGAATAGGTTAAGCAGGATAGTTGAAGTATCTGATGTAAATGTATCAAAGAAAATTAAGTTGGTCAGGTGTGTTATATAAAAATCTTCTGTCTCCAGGGAGATAGCTCAGAGGGCTAGAATGCATGCTTTGCATGTATGAGGCCTAGGTTCAGCACCACATAGCTCCCCTGAACTTTGCCAGGCTGTTCCTTCCCCCTGCCATACCTCTCGCCCGCCCTTCCCTTCAAAAAAATCCCTCAGAACTAAATAAATCATCTGTCTCAAAGTTCGTGATCCCTTTTTAGGAGTGGGAACTTTAGAAGTTTTTAGGTGAAGGCCGAATTAAACAAGTTGAGAGTTTGCTCTCAGGCTCTGAGAACATTTCCTTCAAAAAATGTAGTGCCTAGGGATTGATGATTTGTTTGAACCAGGAAATTCCTTGTGGAGATTCATCCTGTGCATTATCAGATGTTTATCAGTATCCCTGGCCTTTGCCTATTTGATACCAGTAGCATTCTTCAAGTTGTGAAAATGAAAAATCTCTCCAGACGTTCTCAACTGTTTCTTAGGGAGTGAAGTGGCTCCTGGGCTAGTGGTTCAATGCAGAGGCCGAGGATGTGATGCTGCGTGTCCCTCTGATGGGCGGGAATGGCCCTGGTGCACCTGGGGGCCAGCAGTGTGAGACGGTTCCAAGATGGCCTGCCCAGCCTCAAACTAGGCAGCTCTTATGCCGCTGAGTAACATCTCTGGACCTAAGCTGGTCATTATTGACTTAATTGGGGCTTTCACTGTAGTCTCCTCTTGCCTGAGTTTGATGTCCCCTGGCCAGAGACCTTCAGTTCCACACTCCTGAGTTTGATACAGGAATGAGGGTTAGGAATTCCATCCAGCAAAGGGGAGAGGACCTGGAAATCTTGTTTCCAGCAGTCATTGAACTAATCTCACAATTTTTAATTCTTCATAACCTGAAAGCTGAAGTGATAGCACAGCGGGTAGGGCATTTGCCTTGCACATGGCCAGCCTGGGTTCTATTCCTCTGCCCCTCTTGGAGAGCCTGGTAAGCTACCAAGAGTATCCTGCCCACACAGCAGAGCCTGGCAAGCTCCCCGTGGCATATTTGATATGCCAAAAACAGTAACAACAAGTCTCACAATAGAGACATTACTGGTGCCCGCTTGAGCAAATCGATGAACAATGGGAGGACAGTGCTAACCTGAAAGATAAATTGGGAGAGAAAGCTTAAAGATGAGAATATTAAGTTGATGATATACTAGGCATCATTTAAAATAGTCTGCATTTTTTGTGCTACCTTTCTTTTTCTTTTTTTTTTTTCTTTTTGGGGTCACACCTGGCAATGCACAGGGGTTACTCCTGACTCCTGGCTCATGCACTGAGGAATTTCTCCTGGTGGTGCTCAAGTGACCATACGGGATGCTGGGAATCGAACCCGGTTCAGCCGTGTGTAAGGCAAACGCCCTACCCGCTGTGCTATGGCTCCAGCCCCAGTGTGCTACCTTTCTCGGCGTAGGTATTTTGTTTTTTGTTTTGGGGCCACACCCAGTGGTGATCAGAGCTTACTCCTGGCTCCATGTTCAAGGATCATTCATGGGGGGCTCCAGGAACCATATGTGTGGTGGAGGTTAAACCTGGGTAGGCTGCATGCAAGGCAGCATCCTACTTGCTGTACTACCACTCCAGCCCACATTTTTAAATTTCTTTAGAGGGGCCACACCTAATAGTGCTGGGTCAGGTTAGGGGGTACCCTGGCGCCACTCACAGCAACGCTTTTGAGCCACCAGGAACAAATCCAGCAGTGCTGAGGGATCAGGGGTTGTACTGGGGTCTCTGATCTGGGGCCTCATATATGGGACATGCATTCTATCCCAATTATGTTCTTGGGAGTTACATACATTGATGGAATAATCACTCCTTGAGTCAAATAATAGTGCAGGGGGAAAAAGTTTTAGTACTTTCCTGCCCTGTGTGTTTAAAAGTTTTTCGAAGTTTAGAATCTCTCCCTTTCAAAATAATTGATTTTGGAGTTGATCATTTTACAGATCTTTCCCAGACCATTATTGAATTTCCTATTTAGAAAGTACAAAATTCTGTAAATCAGTACTCTCGCCTTTGACAGGAATAGTACATTACTTACCAGACTGCTCCTTTTTCTCTCTGCCTACTAGAATATTCTCTGTGAAGATATACAAAAATTCCTGTAAGTGATCCGTTCCTTGCTTGACCTGTGTATGATAACCATCATTTGTTTCTCTTTAGCTTGGTTCTACAGCCATAGGGATCCAGACATCAGAAGGTGTGTGCCTAGCTGTGGAGAAGAGAATTACCTCTCCACTCATGGAGCCCAGCAGCATTGAGAAAATTGTCGAGATTGATGCTCACATAGGTAAGCAAGAAGTAGGGGAAAGCTGACCTGGCTGAGTGTTGTTCCGTGGGAGGTTTGTCTTACCTCCTTGTTAACTGTTGTTCCCCAGACAATAGGCAGTGCACGTTTTTGAGTAGTTAGGTAGAAGCAGTTGCAGAACTCATTTGTGTCTAACCTGTACCTGAAAGTTTCTTTCTCCCTCAAATTAGACTTGGCGAGTGTGATAAGTGTGATGGCCATTAACCATGTCACGGGTTGAGACTTAGACAGCGCCCCGGGTGCTGTGCCTGCATTGTTGTAGTGTTGACCCTATTGGGTATTCTTAGGAGCTAGAGATCCTGGTGGAACAGAGGACACCTGCGGAAAGCTCAGAATGTTCCCATATAAGGCAGATGCTTGACTGCTGAGCTTTAAGTCCTGACAAGAAAAGAGGAATGATTTTTCTCCCCTTTTTGCCATTTCTGGCAATGCTTAGGAGTTTCTCCTGGCTCTGCACTCAGAAATTACTCCTGGTTGTGCTTGGGGGACCGTATGGGATGCTGGGGATGGAACCCAGTCAGCCACGTGCAAGTCAAATGCCCTACCCGCTATACTATCGCCATGCCCCTCCCCACCCCGAGATTTTTAAAAGATCTTCAGGAAAAAAACTTTAACTACATCAGTTCTCATATATATAAATATTAAGTTTATTTATTTTTACATTTATCTTTTTATTCCTCTTTTCTTTCTCCTGACCTTTGGTCTCCATTATAATTCCCGTCTTAGCTTTTGGCATCATTATAGCATTGCTCGGTGATAGGTCTGCTTATTTATAGCATGCTATTTTAGTTGACTGTTCATGTTTGTTGGATTTTGGGGCTGCATCTGGCAGTTCTCAGGGCATACTCCTGACTCTACATTCAGGAATCACTCCTCGTGGAGTTTAGGGGACCATATGCAGTGCTGGTGATTGAACCCAGGTTGACTGCATACAAAGCAAGTGTCCCATACTCGTTGCACTATTGCTCTGACGCTGTTCTCTTGGCCTCTCTAGGCAACTCATTAATGAAACATTGGTAAATAATAGCTTTTTTTTGGTTTAGAGACACCCCTGAAGGTTCTTGAGGACTGCTCTCAGCTCTGTGCTCAAGTATCATTTGGGGCAGTGCTCATTAGACCATGTGGTTCCAGGAGTGGAACCCAGCCTTTTGCATGCATAAACATAGACTCAGCCTGTTAAGCTCTGTCTTTGGCTAGTGGTAGTGGAGCTTTTTGGAAAGGATTCCATAAAGGTGAATGCTTGAGCTGAATTGGATTCTAAAAGAAGGGAAAGTGTTTGTCAAGAATAGGCCTGGAGAGAGTTCAGGTATACTCTGTACATTGGCATGCAGGAGACCCCCACATTCGATTCTGGGCACTGTATGGTCCCTGGAGTACTACCAGTAGAGACCCCTGATTACTGAGCAAGGAGTTGGCCTTGACCACTGTTGGATGTGATCCAAAAACCAAAAGAACAGGTGGTTAAAGCTGGAGAAAGCATTCTGAAAGAAAAATGAATAAAAGCCTTAGTGGGATCAAATATAAAATAGCATTAACACAAGCGGTGTGACTGGGGGTGGACAGTGGCAAGAAATTTGCCTGACGTCAAACACTGAAGTCCTTTTTACCACGCTTAATTGTGGCCTCGGGGCTAGAGAGTTCAAAGGAGCGCATGCCTGGCAGGCAGGACCCCCGAGTTCAGTCCCCAGCACCAGAGTCCCATGAGTGTAGCGAGGTATAGCGTTGGTGTCCTTTGCATGACTGAGGATTACTTGAGTGCTGCTTGGGAGGGAAGCTCCCACACCAACCAAAAATTTTTTTTTAAAGTTTATACTTAGTGTTTTTGGGTGATGGTGGTGGTGGTGGGGAGCCCTGCGATGTTCAGGGCTTGCTCTTGACTCTGCAATCTGTATTACTCCTGGCGGTCTTAGGGGACCACATGGGATGCCAGGGATGGAACCTGGGTCAGCCATGTGCAAGGCCCTTCCCACTGAACTATTGCTCCAGCCCTATACTTCGTATTTTATTGATGGGAAAGGTTTTAATCATTGGGGAAATATAGTCAGATTAGGATTTTAGGAACACCGTAACAACATTGAACTCGGGAGGAGTGAGTTCTGAGACTTGAGGCAGGTAAAAAGGTTTATTTTTCTTAATGTGATGAGGGCGGGAGCGATAGCACAGCGGGTAGGGCGTTCGCCTTACAAGCGGCCAACATGGCCGACCCGAGTTCGATTCCTCCGCCCCTCTCGGAGAGCCCGGCAAGCTACCGAGAGTATTTGATATGCCAGACACAGTAACAACAAAAGTCTCCAATGGAGACGTTACTGGGCCCGCTCGAGCAAATCGACGATCAACGGGAGGGCCTTTACCTTTACCTTTTAATGTGATGAGGACTTTAAATAGAGCAGCGGTCAGAAAATAGAGAAATAAGAGCCAGACAAGATAATTTGATAGAGACTGATAGAATCTGGGATCTGATTTCTTATGAGAATAAGGGAGAAAGTGGAAAACTGAAGGATCTCTATCATTTACTTGACTCTGGTGTATCCAGGTAGATGTAATATGGAGTCAGTAGTTTCGTGGGTTTGAAATATTGGGTACAAAATATATGATGGAGACTTAAATTTGAGTCTAAGATTATGGTTAAAAACCATAATCTTGGCATCTGGGATCATCAGGCAAACTTTCTAATGTGACCAGTAGATTTGTGCTTGGTTTGGGAAGTAGAAAAGTCTTCGTATTTTATTAAACTAGGGTCTTCCTAGAATTTCAGAGATTGTAGGATCACTGTAGCTCATAGAGAAATGGTATTTTTTCCATGTTTCTCCTTTAGGGGTGTTTGTGTTTGCGTAGTGTGTCAATGCATGGTGGTTTAAAAGAAGTGCTCAAGTTAGGCTTAATGATATACTACGTGAAAATTTGTATTTGATTGGTCGCTTTTTAAATGCCTGAACTTCTGTGTCATTGTTGGTTTTTTATTTGTAATGTAACTATGCTTGTGTTCAGTGTAGATCATTTCCCATTCAGCCTCGGTTATATTGCTGGGGAATGGCTGAGTGGCTACTATGGTTCTGCTTTCGAATTTCAGTATTTCCTGAGTGAATGAGAGAATCTTACCAGGTTTAACCAGTGGGTCACTGTTGCTTTTACATTGCAGGTTGTGCCATGAGTGGGCTAATTGCTGATGCTAAGACTTTAATTGATAAAGCCAGAGTGGAGACACAGGTAAAATCAGCATAATCTATGATTTCAATTCTGATAGTGCCTAAATTCTCCTTTAGTGATGATATAGCTGCATGGGTTGTATTGTGTTAATATCTGTGTTAATATCCGCTGTAGCTCTTGGGAGTGTTTTTTTGGTCAGAATTTCTAGTTAGAACTTTGAGTCTTGAAGTCTTGCCATTCCTCGGAAGCTTTAAGGAAGCCATGGTAAATGAAAAAATAACAACCTATGTAAAGCACACATTGCACTGCATTCTGTTTCCTAATTGATTTTCTGTGGGAGCACCACATAGCAAGAAGTGAACATAACTAAAGGATATTTTCTCCCCAACTGCCTTTACTCTTAGGCTTGTAAAGAGCCGCTCTCCTTTGGTAGTGATGCTTCCTACTAGGAGAGAGATACTCGTCAGGAGTACTGAGATTCTTTTCTCTGCGCACCTGCTGCCTGCCTGGAGAGTAGATTAATAAGAAAAAATAATTGGTAAAAATCTATGCACTTAATTCTAAGTTTTCTATTAGGACTTAGGAAGAGTGAATCTTTAAACACCACTAGGATAGTGAGTGTGTTTGCAAGGGAAGCTTGCTCTTTGTTATTAACTCGTATTTTCTTTATAAAGACTAAATTTGGTATTTTGTGGGTTTATACTCTGTCACGGGAGCACCCTCTAGTCTGTCATTGTTTAGAGTCCTTTAGATAAGTTTATTGCCAGAGCTGTTTCTTTTCCTCTTTTTATTTAATCAAAAATTTTTTTGAAATAATAATGTAGAAGTACTGCTGTTTACTCAGCCATTGATTAAGCTGACTGAGTTAGGCATGAACTCCACGTTTCCGTTTCTCTTGTTCCAAGTTTCATGCTTAGGAAAACACATGAACTTGATCCTGCAGCTTCCAACTGCAGTTCCAGAGATTTGTATAGTGATAAGGTGGCTGCTTTAGTGCCCTCATTTGAAAGGTGGACCATGTTTTGCTTTTCTTCTAGAACCATTGGTTTACCTACAACGAAACAATGACAGTGGAGAGTGTAACCCAGGCTGTGTCCAATCTGGCTCTTCAGTTTGGAGAAGAGGATGCAGACCCAGGCGCCATGGTGAGTGACACTTGTATCAGCTCTCTTATTCCTCTACGGGGCCGCAAGGATATTTGTCCTCTGAACATTTTCCCCAGTGGGTTTTGGTGCTTGCGCACTTGGCCCAAGTGCTTGCTTTAGGGGGAGCACTCCAGTCGTCGTGCTTGCGTTCAGCTAAAGTTGCATACCACCGCCAGGAATCACATTCTTTTTCAGTTGGGTTTGTGCGTGTTCTGATTGTGCTCCCCATGGTGGTTGTGTGCTCACACGTAAGCCTGCCAAGAGATCACATTTTCTGGGAAGGGTGCATACAAATCTTATTTTAGTTGTGCTGGCTGGAGATGTGCTTTTTGATTTATGCTTGCATGCACCTGGCTGCAGGATGACTGGAAATTGCTTTCTGTGCCAGAGTTCACGGGCAGCAGAACTGTCGTGACCCTGCGGGCACATGTAGCAGCACCAGGGATTAAACTCTCAATCGCACACTCATTTGCAAGTGCCCTAAGACACTGAGATAGTTCCTGGGCCTCCAGTAGTTTCTTAATATTTACTCACTAGTTGCTTGATATTTCTCACTTCTCTGGTTCTAGTCTCGTCCTTTTGGAGTAGCACTCTTATTTGGAGGAGTTGATGAGAAAGGACCTCAGCTGTAAGTACTGTTTTTGCTCTAATATTCCTTCTTCATTTTTTTTTTTTGGGAGAATTTCTTCTGGGGGCCAAGAATTATTTTAATTTGGGAGGTGAACTGGTAGTTTAAATCAGTTGACATAAATTTGTAAAAGATGAAGGGCTTCTATTCTGTGCTGCTTAAACAAAGGTAAGTGAGAATTTTGTGAAGGTCCTCCTGTTGGACCCAAAACTAATTATGGAAAGAATGAGTAGTAACTTTGTTGTTGTAGCCCGGTTATGTTTTCGGACTCTGCTTTGTAATATTGGTTTCATTTCTGTTCTCAGATATTTAGATAGACTTATACAGATACCTTATTTATGTATGCTATACTATTCAAAATTTCTGAGGAAAGTAGTTTTACTTTTTTTAAAAATTTATTTAATTGAGGTATCATGATTTACAGTAAGTTTAGACATATACTTTTGTGACACCACATTAAACTATTTCTTTTAAAAGTCGATTTTGGCACCAGAGGGGTTGTCCTGAAGGTAAGGTGCTTGCCTTTCACGTAGCTAACCCTGGTTTTGTTCCTAGCTCTGCATATGGTTCCCAGAATACCCGTGGTTGCTCCTGATCACAGAGCCAGAAAAACTCCTCAGCACTGCCAGGTGTGCTCTATTTTCTCCACCCGTAGATCAGTTTTGGAGTCTGTGCCTCAGCTTCTTGATTACAGGACCAAGTTTTTTTTTTTTTCCTTTTGGCTCTTTTTTGGGGCCACACCCAGTGATGCACAGGGGTTACTCCTGGCTCTGCACTCAGGAATTACTTCTGGCTGTGCTCGGGGGACCATATGGAATGCTGGGGATTGAACCCGGAGAGGCTGCATGCAAAACGCAAATACCCTATCCACTGTACTATTGCCCAGGACCCAGCACTTGTATTTTTCAGTGAGAGCTTTATTTCATAAAGTGCTATTATTGTTTCTTTTTTTCCTTGTTGGATTATTTATTTTTGTGGTGCCAAGGAAGGAACCTAGGCCTCAAAATACTCCACAGTTGAACTATATTTCTGACCCAAAATGCTGCCATTCTTTTTTTTTTTTGTAGGAGTACTGCTATTTATTCAGTCACTGATTAGCTGATTGAATTGTGCATGAACTGCACCTTACTTTTTTTTTTTCATTTTTTATAATTTTATTTATTGAATCACCGTGAGAGCAGTTACAAAGCTTTTGGGTCTAAGTCTCAGTCATATAATGAAACACCCGTACCTTCACCAGTGCCCATTCTCCACCACCAAAAATCCCAGTGTACCCCCATCCCACACCCTCCCCCTGCCTGTGGGGCAGATGATTTCCACATTACTCTCTCTCTACTTTGATCACATTCAATATTTTGACACTAGACCCACCATTATTTGAGATTTCACCCCAACACTCAGATCTGCTGAAAAGGCAACAATAGACAATTTGTGTTCTATTGCTGGTTATGAATAACATATGATGTCGTGTGGCTGCAGTAGGGCCATGTGGTTTTGAAATTCTGAAATTTTAACACTTAAATCTGGAGGGATTTCTGCCAAAAGCCACTGAGTTTCGAGATTTGTTTCTGAGTCTCTGGGATCAAGGCCATTGAGCAGCTCGATGAGGAGCCAGAGAGGCCGTTCGTGGGCGATGACTTGGGGTCTCGTTGGGGTGGGGAGGACAGGCCCGGCTCCCCTCCCCAACCCCATCCCGTGAGGCCTAACAAGTTTCGTCACTGCGGGCCCAAGCCTGACTGTCCAGTGGCCTCTGGAGGATGACAGCCACCAAGTTGCCAAGAGGGAGCAGGCGGCGGGACAGCACCCATTCCCCCCTGGGGTGGCCCGGCGACAGTATCCTACTGCGGGGTTGGGGTCTGGACACATTTCTGCCAAAAGCCGCTGGATTTCGAGATTTGTTTCTGAGTCTCTGGGATCAAGGCCGTTGAGCAGCTTGATGAGGAGCCAGAGAGGCCGTTCGTGGGCGATGACTTGGGGTCTCATTGGGGTGGGGAGGACAGGCCCGGCTCCACCCCCACCCCCACCCCCCCATCCCGTGAGGCCCAACAAGTTTCGTCACTGTGGGCCCAAGCCTGACTGTCCAATGGCCTCTGGAGGATGACAGCCACCAAGTCGCCAAGAGGGAGCAGGCGGAGGGACAACATCCTTTCTTCCCTGGGGTGGCCCGGCGACAGTAACGTACTGTGGAGTCTGGATGCATTTCTGCCAAAAGCCACTGGGTTTTGAGATTTGTTTCTGAGTCTCTGGGATCATGGCCGTTAAGCAGCTTGATCAGGAGCCAGAGAGGCCGTTCGTGGGCGATGACTTGGGGTCTCGTTGGGGTGGGGAGGACAAGCCTGGCACCACCCCCATCCAGTGAGGCCCTGTGTGTCTCGTCACTGGGGGCCCAAATGTGACTATCCAGTGTCCTCAGACGGATGGCGGCCACTGGGCCGCCAGGGGGAACAGGCCAAGGCACGAAACCTATTCCCACCTGGGTTGGCCCAGCACCGGTAGCCTACTGCAGAGACCGGACGCATTTCTACCTAAAGCCACTGGGTTCTGAGATTCGTTTCTGAGTCTCTGGGATCATGTCCATTAAGCAGTCCTATCAGGAACCAAAGAGGCCTTGCCTCCAATTATATAGCTGAGCCGGAGGTGGTTTGTGGGTGTGTTTCCCACATACCTAACTTTTGGCCGTTTACTTTCTTGGTAAACTTTGCCCCAAGTTTTTGGGGTCTGGCCAAAGGCACAGCAGCAATTTTGGGGTATCTGGAAGTCAATGCTGCCATTCTTAACTATTTAAATGTTTTCTTCTTTTGGGGTGGTGCTTTGTAGGTTTCATATGGATCCATCTGGAACCTTCGTACAGTGTGATGCCCGAGCCATTGGTTCTGCTTCAGAGGGTGCCCAGAGCTCCTTGCAAGAAGTTTACCATAAGGTAATTTAATTAAGCACTTGCATTACTTTTTTTTTTTAAGTGAAGATGGAACTTTCTAAAAACAAATGGGGGTCTGGAGAAATAGCACAGCATATAAGGTGCTTTCCTTGCACACAGCTGACCCAGGTTCTATTCTTGACAACATATAGGTCCTTTGAGACTGTCAGGAGTGATCCTTGAGCATTGCTGGGAGTGACTCCCACCCCAAAATAAATTCAAATGATTTTTTATACAATAAAATTCATAGACCTTAATAGTTAAAGTCTATGAGTTTGACAGTGTATGCGGACATGTGACCACCAACTAGAGAGAGAATTCCATCACCTCCCCCAGTGCTGTCCTCTCTAATCGCAGTCTTTCTGATCACAGAGCCAGAAAAAACTCCAGTCTCTCTCCCTTGGAACCACAGTTCACCATTATAAATTTGCTTTGTCTAGTTTTAAACTTTCTGCAACCACCAATCATACTGTTAGTATCTTTGTGTCTTCCCCCTTTTTTGGTTCAATATACTGTTTTTGAGATCGGTTATATCTGTAGTTTTTATTGCTGAGTGGTACATCATGGCATATATGTGCTACAATTTGTCCTTTTTCTATAGCTTTACTTCCTAGTCTAGTTTTTTTAAACAAATGAGTAGTTCAGTTTTTTTCATTGTCCAGTGGCAAGACTTGACGTCAGGTAATTCATTAGGTTTCTAAGCTTACCATTTAGACAAGCCACCTAGATGAAAAGTCTGGACCCCTAGTGAGATGCCTGCTCACGTTAACCATTAATAATGTTGGTTTTTACATGGGGAGGAAATTGAGTATAAAAACAAGGTAAAAGGATTTTTTTTCTCGCTCTTTTTTTTAACCTTGGGTATCCCCTTCCCCTGTTTATTTTTTTTTTCAAACGTAACAGATTTTTAAAACATTGTACTTTCTTGATCAGTTTGGAATACAAAGGATGTCACAATATTACATAGATTAAAATAAGCATAGAGAAGTGTAGCTCTTCCCCAATATCTTCAAAGATTATTTATGTGAAAGCTGGTGAGTTCATTGTGGTTCAAAGACTTTTCTCTGGAGAAATCTGGCTTACCATTCTCTGGAATTCTGGAGGTCTGTGTAATGCACTCCCACTAACTAAGATTTAGGGCTGAAGAAATAGCTCAAGAGACTGGAATTTCATACTTTTTATTTAGAAGGCCTGTGTTTGGTCTCCTGAGCACTTCAGAAAGCAGACCCTGAGCACCAAGCCAGAAGTTGTTCCTGGTTCAGATGTAGACCACCCCCCCTCACCTCCACCCCCCCCCCCCCCCAAAAAAAAAGGATCTTTGATTTACTAGTGTTTGTTAAATCATTTCTTTAGGGGAGTTACAGGGAACTCTTTGATGACTTAGATTCCTTATCGTTAATGGTTATTCTGACCCTTTTGTTTCAAGTCTATGACACTGAAAGAAGCCATCAAGTCTTCACTCATTATACTCAAGCAAGTTATGGAGGAGAAACTGAATGCAACTAACATAGAGGTATTTCTCTGCTTTACTGCCTCTTTACTCCAGAGTCCTCGTTTCCATTACTGAGACCAGGATACCTGTATTTTTTTTTTTAACGCTCTCTCTCCTTAAGAAGTTATTGACAGGGGACCAAAGAGATAGCTTGCTTTGGGGCTGGAGCAATAGCACAGCGGGTAGGGTGTTTGCCTTGCACGTGGCCAACCTGGGTTTGATTCCCAGCATCCCAGATGGTCCCCTGAGCACCGCCAGGAATGGTTCCTGAGTGCAAAGCCAGGAGTAACCTCTGAGCATCACCGGGTGTGACCCAACAAGCAAACAAAAAAAAAAGAAGAAGAAGAAGCTAGCTTGCTTTGCATCTGACCAGGATTCTATCCCCAGAGCCCTATATGAGCCCTGCCAGATGTAAGCCTTGTGGCCCAACCCCAGTCACCCCCTCAAAAAAAGTTACTGGTAACAGGTTTTTTTGTGTGTTTGGTTTTTGGTTTTTTTGGTCACACCCAGTGATGCTCAGGGCTTCTAACTCTGCAGTCAGGAAGGGGAACCATATGGGTGTGCAAAGCAAATGCCATATCCTCTGTACTATTGATCTGCCCCCATTGCTAACACTGAATTAATTTTAGTAAACTAATGGCAAAAGAGAATATATTGTGTTAACACTAACACAATTCAGTAGTGAGAGGGAATTAGGTGAACAAAACAAGACCCTGTGGTTTTCTCAAGAATTTAGTGTCAGCAGAAGGCAAGATTAAAGAAAAGATCTTTGTCTTTTGAATAATTTACTATTTTGTGTTTGATTTTACTGTTTTAGGATTTCTGTCTTTTAAGGATGAGAAAGACTTCAGAATGCTTTTATAGACTGAGAAGGAACTAATGAATAGAAAAATGTTAAAAGAAAGCAGAAGTTAGTGATTAAAGAATTATGTAAGGAGAAGGCATATAAATGAAGATGTTTTTGAAATATACGTTAATATAGCATTAGCTTAATTATTATATTTTGCTTTTGGGGTCACATCTGGCAATGCTCAGGAATTACTCCTGGCAGTGATAAGGGGACCTTATGGAATGCTGGGGATTGAACCTAAGTCAGCCAAGTGCAAGGCAAATGCCCTCCCCACTGTATTGTTGTCGCTTCAGCTCCTGTAGCATTAACTTTAAAACCCATTGTATGTCAGATACTAAACTGAATGCCAGCAATACAGAATAGAGTTCCATTTAAGCAGTACCCTGTGTAGTTTAGGGGGCATGCAGATAGTAGTAAGCAAATAAAAGCAGATTGCCTCAGGGTCAGAGAGATGGTATGTTGGATAAGATGCTTATCTTGCACATTGCTGACTTGGGTTTGGTCCTTATGACCAGGAGCACAGAGCTAGCACTGCTGGGAATGGCCCCCCAAATAAAACCAGAAAGTTGAGATAATAAAAGTTGAGATAATAAAATCTTTCATATTCATTATGTAACTAAATGTATCATTATGTAAATGGTGAGATTATTTTTAGTTATCTAGTGATAAGTTCTTTCCTGAAGGCAGCAATTGGTGTAAGACCTGTTAATACAGGTTTGTAGCCTGATCTGTAGGATTGTGCCTGTCAGAGTTTGTCCAGTTGCTGGTTTTTGCGCCTGCAGTGGTTGAAGGTACTGACAGTGACTAGCCTGAGTCATGAGTGACTGGGCAAAAAAAAGTTCTGTAGGCATTATCTCTCTCCTCAGGTCCCCAAAGGGAATGACTAGTATTTTCTTTGGACTAAATTTATGAACATGAGTTAAAAAATAATCTTCGCAAATATATTTGATTTGTTTATTTTGTCTTTGGGCCTCAGCAGTGCTGGGGAGAGAGATCCCTCCTGACTCGTGTAGGGGTCACTCCTGGCAGTGCTCAGGGGACCTGGTAGTGTCAGGGACTGAACTCTTGTGCGAAGCATTGGCTCTAGTCCTTTGAGCTATCTCCTTAGTCCTGCAGGTATACTTGTGGCTCTTAGGACATTTCTTATTATTAGATAAATCTCAAGTGGAGGCTGATGACTTTAAAAGAACAGGGGCCAAAGAAACAGTATAGCGCTGGGTTGCTTGCCTTGCGTGGTGCCTGGCCCAGGTTCATCTCTAGCACCACTTATGATTCCTAAGCCCCTCTGTGAATCATCTCTGAGTACAGAGTCAGCAATAAGTTTTGAGCACCTCTGGGTGTGTTCCTCAAAGAAACCAAAAAACATTCAAAGTGAGTAAATTTTAGTCTTTTCTAGGGCCGGAGCGTTAGCACAGGGGGTAGGGTGTTTGCTATGCACACGACCAACCCGGGTTCCATTCCCAGTATCCCATATGGTCCCCTGAGCACTGCCATGAGTAATTCATGAGTGCAGAGCCAGGAGTAACCCCTGTGCATCACCGGGTGTGATCCAAAAAGCAAAAACAATAATAATTTTTAGTCTTTTCCAAGACCAGATCTTTTAAGTGTTTGATAATGTAATAATATAATGCAATTATATATTAGTGTGTAATGTGATAATACAATCATTTTCTAAGATTATTTAAGACTTTAGGTGATCAATAATAATTGGATTGTGCTGATTCTGGCCTTGGAGGGTTGGGGGGAATAGTCTCTTGAGCAGTGCTTAGAGGGCTGGCGGTGAGAGGGAGCATCCCCAGAGAAACTGCTTTGGCCCATCAGGGCCACCTGCGTGGTATTCTGGGGACCCCGGCAGGAACTCAAAGTAGATCTTTTACATGCCAGGTCCTTTGAGCTGTAATCCCAGTTTTCTGACAATTTTAAACTAAGTGAAAACTGGGACTGGAGTGATAGGACAGTACCTATGTCACTTCCTTGTATGTTGTTGTCCTGTGGCCCAACCCCCCCCACTATGTCCCCCACAAAAACAACAAAACACCTACTAGTAGATACCACTAGTGAATATTCCTAATATAATATTGCTGAAAAGTTGTCCAAGTATGTTTAATTTTAATGTTTCAAAGCAGTAGACTAGAGAGAGGGTACAGTGGGTAGAGTACTTACCTTACAAGAGGCTGATTCAGATTTGATCTCCAGCATCCCATATGGTCTTCTGAGCACCACCAGGAGTGATTCCCGAGTGCAAAGCCAGGAGTAACTCCTAAGCATTGCTGGGTATGACCCAAAAACAAAACAAAAATTTAAAAGAAAAAAAACCACCAAAAACAACAGCATAAGGATGACATTTAAAATTATAGCTGAACACCAGAATAGCCGAGATCAGTACCAGGAGGTTCACTCCATGGCTTGGAGGACAGCCGCACATGCTAGGGGAAAAGACAGCTCAGCTAGAGAAGGGAGCACCAAGTAAAGGGTGTTGGGAGCATCCTCCCAGGATGGGAGATGCATGCTAAAAGTAGACTATAGACCAAACATGATTGCCACTCAATGCCCCTTTTGCAAACCACAGCACCCAAAAGGAGAGAGAGAGAACAAAAGGGAATGCTCTGCCACAGAGGTGGATGGGTAGGGAGGGGATGGGGGTGGAAGGGATACTGGGATCGGTGGTGGTGGAGAATGGGCACCAGTGGAGGGATGGGTACTCGATCATTGTATAACTGAAACCCAAGCACAAGAATTTGTAAGTCTACAACTGTACCTCCTGGTGTTTCACTAATAAAAATGTTTTTTAAGAAATTAAAAAAATAAAATGATAGCTGTTTTTCTTCTATGTCTAAATCTTTAAAATGAGTTAGGCACAGAAAGTATTTTGGCGGGGGATGGGGTGAGCAAAGGGCCAGCGCACATGCCCTGAGTTAGAGTCCCAGCACCACGTGGCCCCCTGTGCACAGCCCTAATAGCTACCCTCCCCCCACCGGGGCTCCTGGAGATCCCTGCTGTCCCCCACCAAAAGAATCTTTTCTTGGCGAATTTGAAGTGGCAGCTGTTCTTCAGTATTGCAGCGAATGTGGAACTATGTTGTCAGTAGAGATGATAAAAAACCTGGTGGCTTAATTGAGATTGTTTTCAGATCCTGATGCTTCGATTATTACTAATGACTGTAGTCACAGCTGGTTTCTCTTAATGTTAACGGAATCTTTTCATGATCAGTTCTTTAAAGTTTTATTTATATTTGTTTTGCTAAGTTGCTGCAAAGACAGTTTTAGGGAAAATAATACTCTGTTTTGATAGTACTATAATGATAGGTAACAATTATTAACAGTTAAAATATTCACAGTTACGGTGTTCTAGGTTCAATTCTAGATTCTTTGAAAATATTGACATTCTTGATCTTTACAACTACTCTGAGTTAAGTCTATTACTATTCCCATTTTACTCATGGAAAATGAGGCGCAGAGTGATCACATATCCCAGGGTCACACATGAGTTTGACTTTCAGGTGTGTAAATATGCTTTCAAGTATGTGTGATGCCAGGGACAGAATCTAGGACCTCAGATAGGCCAAGCATAGAGCTCCATCTCTGGTCTCAATAGATGTCTCTGAGTCATACCCAGCATTTCTCATGAGTTACTTCATGCACAACTCGGGACCATGAGGTGTTGGGGATCAGACCAGGGCTCCTTGCCCAAAGCATGTGCTTCTGCCTTCTGAGCCTTCTCAGAACAATACAGTTCTGAACATATTTCTAGAGGAATCTTTAACAGCAAAAAGTAGTGATCCTATCTAATTTGTTGTTGCCTTTGTGATTCCTGTAAGAAGTGACAGATGGACAAGATAGTGCATGAGGCCAACACTGTGAATCAATCTCTGGCATAATTAATATATGGTCCTCTGAACATGGCCACAAGTGGGCCCTGAATAGAAAGCTGGAGTCAGCCCTTAACAAGGTGTGGCCAAACCAACCCTTTTCCCTCACCGAAAAAAAAGAGGTGATCGTAATTATCTGACATTTGGCAAAAATGTGGTGAATGAGAAATTCACAGAATAGAAATTTGGTCAATGAGAAATTTTATTTTGGAGTCAGCTATTTTTAGAGCTTGCTGCTGGAAAGGATATCCTTGGGACAGCAGATCCCTTAGTTCCTAGTGAACAGCTGCATCACGAACCAACTTTGACCATACTTGGGCTGTCAGCAGGATTGAGCCCAGCTTATTAATCCTTCTCTGTTTCTTTTTCAGTTGGCCACAGTGCAGCCTGGCCAGAATTTCCACATGTTCACAAAGGAAGAACTTGAGGAGGTTATCAAGGACATTTAAGAAGTGTAATCCTCAGAACTTTCCTGGGAGAAATTTGGGTTCTCCATATTTCCCTTAACTTTTACTTCCAGTTGTAATTGTCTGGAAAATCTCCATTGTTTGTGCTTTTTTTTATGATATGATACGTCTGTACATAAAGGCAGTTCTGAAATAAAGAAAACTTTAAAATATTTGTTAATAGACTATTTAAATGCAGTATTTTGTTTGAAATGCTTTTCTTAGGATCTTTCTATCCCTATCGTATCAAAATTAGTAGATCCATGAATCCTTTGGTTTTAGCAAGTAGAATGTACCCAGCTCCTACCATTGGTTTATAGATGTTAACACCCCTATAAATTCAATTCTGTACTATAGTTTCTTATGGGCACATAGGTATTTTTGTTGCTTTTCTATCTTTTGACCAGTGATTATTTTTAGTTAGTAGACTAGTGTTGGAACCACTATACTAAAATTTGACAAACTTGCTGAGTTACCCACTGTAGCACTGTCCTCCCGTTGTTCATCGATTTGCTCAAGCGGGCACCAGTAACATCTCACAACAAATTGTGAGACTCTTTGTTGCTGTTCTTGGCATATTGAATCCATCACGGGTAGCTTGCCAGGCTTTGCCACTATATGCCAAGTAATATATTAGGTATTGGGTATGGAGCTGTGAAAATACTAGATAAAATCTATTCTCAGGGACTGAGAAACAGGTGGGGAAAATGACAAATATTTCCTTGAGAAAAGTTTCTTTCGAGGGGTGACAAATGTGTCTCTGAATCACAGGTGTAAGGGAAAAATTCTAAGAATAGTAGCTTGTGAGTGTTTCAGCTTCCCTTACAGTATTTTCTCTTACTGCCTGGGCAGTGTATTTGGACCTTACACTACTGCAACTGGTAAAATTGCACATTTGTTTCCCTTTATAATTCCAGTGGCATTATTAAAAGAGAACATTTGGGAGAGAGAGTACCTTGCATGAAGCCATCCTGGGTTTGATTCCCTGCACCCCAAATGATCCCCTGAGTGTCTCTAGGTAAGGCCCAAAACCTCAAAAAAATGAGCTTTGGTTTTCTGTGAAATTTTAAAACCACCTGGCCAGAGGATTGGAGTGAGTTAAAACCCTACAAGTTGTCTTTTGTATCCAGTTAGTAGAATCAGAAATCTTTTTTCCCCTAATTTTTTTTAATTGAATCAGCGTGAATTACAAAGTTACTCATGATTAAGTTTCAGGTATACAGTATTCCAACACCAAGCTCTTCACCACTTCCACAATGTCCCCAGTTTCCCTCCTGTCTCTATGGCGGCACTTTATTTTTTTCTTTCCCCTTTTAGGCACTGGTTTACAGTACTATTACTTTACATCCTTTTAGCACCCAGTTTTCCTTCAGAGTGACTTTTTCCATCATAATTCTTTTTGGGGACTGGGAGTTCACCCATATCCCACAGTACTCAGTACTTATTCTTGGCTCTGTGCTCAGATTACTCTGGAAGAATTTGGGATATCATATGGGGTGCTGGGGATGGAACCTGAGTCTGCCACATATAAGGCAAGTACCCTACCCACTGTACAGTTTCCAGGTCCGAATCAGAGAAATCTTACTAAAATGCAAGTGTTTTGTGACGTGCAATCACTTTTTACTCGTCTTTTCATTATGGTATATGGGGGAAAAAATAGTTTGGGGCTAGAGAGAAAGTATGAATTAAGGTGCTTGCCTTGGATTAACCCTGATTTGATTCTCAGCACCACATGGTCCTCTGAGAACCTCATGAGAACACAATTGGGCATGCCCCCCTGCCCCACACACACTGCCTGAACACCCAGTGGATATAACCTAGTCTCCCCAACAAGTGAAGTTTTTAGGAATTGACTTATTTTTGGCCACGCACTTAAAGACCTTGTGTGGAGTATTTCACAAGACGAACTGACCAGTACAGCTTTCATCTTAAAGATGCGTCTGTCATTAATGAAATGAAAAACTAAATTTACTTAAGTACTTTTTCAGTTCCAGATCCAAAGTACTATATCCTCTGTTTTTGTTGGGTTTTGGGCCCACACCTAAGAGTGCTGGAGTGCACAGTAGCTCCCAGTGATGCTAAAGGAAGTGTCTTGGCACAGTATGAGATTGAACCCACAGTTCCTACATGCCAAGTGTGTGCTCCAGCTGGAAGAAAACTGTCTAGAGTTTGAAAAAGAAAATACATGTCCTGAAATCATGTAATAATAAATGCAACAAATTAAAATATAAGGTACAGGGCCTGGGGAGAGTACAGTGGGGAAGCCCTTTGCATGAAGTGGACCTGGGTTTATTTAAACCTGGGTTTATTTAATAAATTTATTTAAATCATTGATTTAAAGAAGGCCTTTGATTCTGTTGAGATGGAAGCAGTCATTGAAGCCCTAGCCAATCAGGTCGTTTAAACTCAATACATCGGGATCCTCCATGAGCTGTATTACGGATTCACTACCAGGATCTCACCATTATACAAAGAAGTGATCATCGATGTCAAGAGAGAGAGGGGTTCGGCAGGGTGATACCATTTCACCAAAACTCTTCAGTGCCACCCTCGAGAATGTCATGTGACAACTGGAATGGGAAGGAATGGGAGTGAAGATAGACGGTTGGCAACTACAACCCCTCTGTTTCGCTGATGACATTGTTCTAATAACACCAAACATTAGCTAAGCGGCACAAATGCTGGCCAACTTTGACCATGAGTGTGGGAAGGTCGGACTGCAGCTGAATCTCACAAAGACAATGTTTATGAGAAACAGACTTGTTCCTGATGTTCCATTTGCTCTCAATGGAATGATCAACTCCGAATGCAACAGTTATGTGTACCTAGGTCGAAAAGTCAACATGATGAATGACCTGGCACCTGAGTTGCGCAGGAGGAAGAAAGCGGCTTGGAACGCCTTCAAGAGCGTCGAAGAAATAACTAAGAGGATGAAGAACCTCCAGCTCCGAGCACATCTCTTCGATTCCACTGTTCTTCCTGCATTAACATACGCCTCAGAGACCTGGGTCCTACGAAAACAGGATGAGAACTCTATTCGGGTCTCTCAAAGAGGAATTGAAAGAGCTATGCTTGGAGTATCACACTTCACTCAAATAAGAGAAAGAATCCGGAGTTCCGACCTCCGTCAATGCTCAAGAATCAGGGACACTGTCTTGTTTGCCAAGGCATCGAAAATCAGATGGGCTGGACACGTAATGAGATTTAGAGACGACCGCTGGACTAGAGCCATTACCGACTGGATTCCACGGGATGTCAAAAGATCGCGTGGCTGCCCACCTACGAGATGGTCAGACTTCTTCGTCAAGACCCGTAACGATCCGTTTGAGGCTCTTCACGTTCCTGGAACGGGCAGATGCCATTGCGCTACGCTAGCACGCAACAGGGATGAGTGAAGACGTTACTGGCACCCGCTTGAGCAAATCCATGAGTAACAGGATATCAAGTGATCAAGTGGACCTGGGTTTGATCTGTGGCAGTACATAGTTCTCTGAGAACCACCAGGAGTGATCCCTGAGCACAGTCAGGTGTGTCCCCAAAACAAAACAAAAAGTAGGGTATCACATCCTTGTGACATTAATTTTGGGTTTTAAGGTGTATTTGATAGTTTCTCCAGAAGATGGCACTGTTGAGTTAACGTTTCTTTTTTTGGAGTAAGACAATAGACCATTCATCTTTGTGTCACCCAAACAAAGAAATATTCCTGTATGGCCCTTCTTCTCCCAGCCAGCTAATCACATGCTATTGGAACTGACTGTCTTGTGATCTACTCCGTAGTTGGTATAGATAAAAACTAGCCGGTATATTAAGAAAATAAACTGACACCTGGCAAATAATAGAAAGCGAAACATTGTTGCGTTTCCAAGGAGCTTTACAGTGTCAGTTCAATACCTGAGAACTTAGAAGACTCGTCTTTTTACCTTCTTGCTCAGGTGCCATTCAAAAATATTTTTTCACTTCTCATGTTTTGTTCTGGAAACAGTTGTAAATCTTTGTTGCAAGTTAATAAGACTGGAAGTATCCTAATGTCAGCCTTGGTCTGCTACTGCAGCTCTTTGCCTTTTATATGTTCTCTTTCGTTCTCTAACCTGGTTTATGGTTAAAATTTTTACTTGCATACTTTCTGTGTGCTGCCACTTCTACTCAACGACTTCTAGCATTGTAAAGGGATAGAGTCAGTAAGATTAAGATGCAGAACTGGTTTTACTTGCGCTGCGTGTTCTAGAAGTTAGGTGTACAGTTTCTACGATAAAGGAAACAGCGCGTAGGGGGTTTGTTTTATTTATTGGAGGCGGGGTGCTAATTTAGGAGACATCATATACTGAAAATCAAACTTGTGCAACGCACTCATTGCAGGGTTAAGGCGGTGTGGTAAAGAAATTAGCATCTGTAGAATGTCTGACCTAGGCAAAGGGGGCCAAGTCTCTGGCCTCCTACCAGTGTGCCTAAAATCTAAGCTACTTTCCGAGTCCAGTATGCAATTTCATTTTTGTGCTCCCTCCCTGCGAAGAGACCGATAAAGGTTCTAAGTGTTGGGCAGACTTCTCTACTCTTGCCTGCCTGAGTCACGGACATCCTGATGCTATCGGACCCTGGATGGGGTTAGCCCACACAGTTCGCATTGCCTCCCTACACCCTTTATTTCTTCTCTTATTTTTAGGTCTTAGTTCTTTCCTGTTCATTTCTGTATTTTCAATGGAATCACCGTGAGATACACAGCTACAAGGTTGTTCGTGATGGGCTTTCACAGGCAGCAAGGCGACTGCCCCAGGAGATGGGCGCTCCTTTGCTCGGGGGTCCAGAGCTGAAGGCAGCTCGGGTTCAGGACGAAGCTCCGAGCACCAGGATTCCCCCAGAAGGCCGTGCTGGCCTCCGGCAGCCCTAGGGATTTCAGGGGCGTCTCCGGGGCAGAGGAGGGGCCTCCCTCCACTGCCAGCGAGGGCTGCCGGAGGGCGCAGCCCGGGGCCGGGGCGGGGGTGCCGGGGAAGGAGGAGCGCTCCTGCCGAACTCTGGAAGCCCAGCCCCGAGACGCCGGCGCGGGGCGGGGGATGACCTCAGCCTCCTCGGCCTCGCTCCAGCCAATCAGCCCCGCGACTCGGCATCCGAATCCAGGACCCCCGAAGCAGGAGGCGCCGCAGCCAATGAGCGGCGGGCGCCGGGAGACGGACGGGCCGGCGGCCTATGGGCGGAGAGGCCCGGCTGCGTGTCTCCGGGCCGCGCCGGCTCGGCTCGGGGGTGTGGCGCGGCGCCGGCGGGGGTGGGCGGGCACGCCGGGCGGCAGGTGTCGGCGGCGCAGGCATTCGGCGGCGATGGAGCGGCCCCGGGGAGCTGCGGACGGCCTCTCGCGCCGGCCCCACGGCCTCGGCCTCTTCCTCCTCCTCCTCCAGCTGCTGCCGCCGACCTGCCTGGGCCAGGACCGGCTGGACGCGCCGCCGCCGCCCGCGGCGCCGCTGTCGCGCTGGACCGGCCCCGTCGGGGTGAGCTGGGGGCTGCGCGCGGCCGCGCCCGGGGGCCCGTTTCCCCGCGGCGGCCGTTGGCGCCGCAGCGCCCCCGACGGGGACGAGGACTGCGGCGGGATCCGGGACTCGGTGGCCAGGCTGACCAACAACACGCACCAGGTGAGCGGGCGCCGGCCCGGCCGCCGCGGGGGTCGTGGGGAGCCGCCGCGGGGGAGGGGGAGGGGCTGCCGCGGCTCCGGCCCGCGCGCTCCAGGACCCCGCGGCCCCGCGCCCCCTCCCCGCGGCCCCGAAACTGCGGCGGGCGGAGCCGGGCCCGGGAGCGGCCCCCGGCGCGCCGCCGCTGTGTTTCGTCACAGGGGCGCAATCGGAGACTTCCAGGGCGTTCTTTCCACCCCCCCGAGTTGTCAAAACCTCTTGAGCGTCGCGGTTTCCCGTCTTGCATAAATAATCCGGATCCGATCGCGCTGTTTTAATCCCCCGGGAAGCCGGGGGGCGCAGTCACCCCTTCAAGTGCTTGCAGAAGTTGGGTTGCGTGCAAGCCGGGGTGTGTGCCCGGGTGGGTCTGTACTCCGAAGGGTGGGCAGGGACCCGCGGGCCGTTGTCAGGTGACTGCGTGCAATTTTAATAGATTCGGGAACGAGGGCTTGGATAATGGCATGACATGCATGAGCTCCCATCTGTGTAGGTTGTCGCTTAACGCCTGCAGTTTGACCTTCTGTTGTGGCTTAGGACTGGCCAGGATGTCCTGTTGGGGCAAGCTTTCCAGCGGTTCAGAAGCGCGATGAAGATACTCGGCTTCGATCTCGGTCCTCCTCGACAACTTAAAACTCTGTCCCTAGGGACAAGCGCTCAACCATTGCACACTTACGGGGCTGACAGTCACTTGTGAAGAATCTCCTGGCCCCTGTGCAATTTGGACGTCTTTCTCGTGTTTTGCTCAAACGAATGACTGAGCTGTTGCTCTTCATAGTTGCATGAAATTTTTTCGACTGGGTCTGTTTTTCTCCACTCTGTCCTTTTCCTCTTCTGGAGAGAGTTGCTTGGGATGAATGGTTAACTGCCCTTGTTCTTGTACATAAGAACCTAAGCTGTCAGTCTGTCAGCCTGAGTAAGCTCAGTCTCTCCCGGAGTCTCTCTTTCTCACCCCTGTACTAGACGGGGCATAATTCTCAGACCTGGGGACAGGCGGGCAGCAGTTCAGGCACAAGCTGTTAGGAATAACTCTGCTTGATGGAGTCCAAGTAGCAGCTGCTTCAAGATGACCAAGCAAGTGCAGACGGGTGTGACAGGTTGGGAAAGACAGGGAGGGTGGGGCTGTATACTGAGAAAACTTCCTATTTGACAGGGGGAGGGGGAAGATAGCGCCCAAACCCTTGTACCCTTCCACCCTCCCATTTCACAGAAACATTCTTGCAAAAGGGATGCTTCATATGTAGTAGGACCACTTCCTTCCAGGAGCTGGCTGGCTGCCCTGATGTCCCTCCCAATATGGATTTTATTTTCATCTGGCTGGTTGACCTACCTTCATGTCTGCCCCTGCTCCTGCATTTCTTCCTTTAGTCCAAGTCTTTCCTGGTTAGTTTGAGATGATGGGTCATTTGTAACGTGCTAAAGGAAGAGCTTGGAAATACTGGCTCAAGGGACTCTAATGCCAACGCTACTCAAGAGCAAATCTGAAGCTACTCATTTTTCAAAATCTGATGCAAAGGTTCTGCTATTTCTTTGGGTTATTTATTTATTTTTTTAGCTGTTGTTTTTCACCTTCCCCCTTTCAAAGTTTTTAAAATGTTTTTATATTTAAGAGTTAATTTTATGTCTTTATATTTATTTAATAACACCTGGCAGTGCTCAGGGATCACTCCTGGCTGTGCTCAGGGGACCATGTGTGGTGCCGGGGATTGAACCTAGGTCTGCCAAGTACTAGGCAAGTGTCAGTCTACTATTGCTCTGGCTCTCAGACTTACCTTTAAATAACTCTTCACATTTGCTTAGGATCTGGCTTTCACAGATTGCAACATTTTTGCAACATGCATTTGAGGTAAAAGTGGAACCGATACTAAGTCTTCACCTTAGAAATAGTTGGTTCAAGGAACACTAGGAGTAGCTCCCCCTCCTGAACCTATTCTGTTTTTCATTCCTGTTTTCAGAAGTCATAATAAATCACCCTGAGCTTTATTAAGGAAATTAGTGTATTTGGACCCTTTATAAACAGTGAAATGAAAGTATCACTGTGACAACTTGTCACTAGAGAGATTGTATACAAAAGTGCTGCCCGAAAAATCAGTCATCAAGAGTAGTTTTCATATACATATATATGTATACATATATATGTATCTATATGATGACAGGATTCAGTTCCCAAGAAAAAAAACAAAAAGTTCTTGGTTCTCTCCATTCTTCTTTTAACTTGTTCGTTTCACGCCGTGCTAATTCACATTATCAGTGTATATGAATGCTCTCTGAAGCACTCGATGTGGGTGGTGTTAAGATACAGAGAAATGACAATTTAAGATGGGAGAATGAGAGTCCAGAAGTTTTGAAATCTCTTAGATCTGTTGCTATAGCCTGACGTATGAAAATATCTCTGCATTTAGGCTTTTAAAAGAAGCACGATAGCGCTTTTATATTCTTTTATATTCCCAATCTGGGCTTTAAATGGCCATAACTCAGGTTTCTTCACTCATCAAATACAAACTTACATGCTCTTTTCTTTTTCTTTTCCTTTTTTTTTTCTTTTTGGACCACACTTGGCAATGCTCAGGGGTTACTCCTGACTCTGTGCTCAGGAATTACTCCTGATGGTGCTGGGGGGACCATATGGGATGCCAGGGATCGAACCTGGATCGGCTGTGTGCCAGGCAAATGCCTTACCTGCTGTGCTATGGCTCCAGCCACAGTGCTCTTTTCTTAGACTCGATAAATAACCTTCCCTTTCCCTAAATCCCCAGGCTGATTCGTGCCACTGATTCCTTCAAGTGTCTGGAGTTTTCTTGACATGTATAACCTTTGTACATGAGAAAATTGAGCAAGTCTTAAAAAAAAAAATTTTTTTAATGTTGGTTGCTAAGTTGGATTGCTTCAAAACATTCCTCCCATAAGCACCCCTTTGAGGTTAGGCATGAAACTCTGTCTTAAAGAAACAGATGATATGTCTTGGCCAGAGTTATAGTGGTGGCTGAGATAATTTCCTTCCCATTCCTGTGTTTAGACCATTTGACAGTTTCCTTAAAACTTTTTAAACTTATAATTAATAAAGCCAGGAACTGTTGCCCATTCTGTCTTCTTTCTGCTCCCTTCATTCCTTCTTGACACATAACTTCCCAACTTCTACTTCAGCATCAAAGCCTCTGGTTTCTTAAATAAACCAGGGCTGTGGAGAGGCTCTGCTGTATGGGGTGTCAGCTCTGAGAAGAATGTGGGTGTTTGTTTGCTGGTGCTGGCAGGGCTGAGCCCCGGCTGACGAGACTGAATGTGCCTGCTGGAGGCTTCGAGGAGCTGCTGCTCTGAGCCTGCTGTGGATCTTTTGAACACCCAAGCTTTGAAGGTCAGTGCCTTTAAGTGCCTTGAAACTCGCGAACTGCCTCATTTATTCCAGCAGGCAGCCCTTCTTCATCCTGCCTGTCCCAGTACTTCCCTCTGCCCCTCCGTTTGATCTTCTCTCGCATCCTATTTCATCCATTCTCTTTCGCTCAAAAAAATGAATTCTGTTTGATCTGGTTTAAACAGAACGAGCAAAGTCTTCACGAGGATTCTATTATTAAGCACACTGGGGTTGCTAAAATGACTTATGAGTCAACAGTCTCAGAAATATCAGCGGATTGGGGGGCTGACACAATAGTACAGTGAGTAGGGCATTTGCCTTGCATGAGGCTAACCCTGGTTCATTCCCTGGCAACCCATATGGTCCCCCAAGTCTGCCAGAAGTGAGCACAGACAGATCCAGGAGTAATTCCTGAGCACCTTCAGGTGTGGCCCCCAAAATGGGAAAAAAAAAAGGAAAGAAATATCAGCAGATTTAATAAGATGTATTGGTATGTTGCAGAAAGACTGTTTCTTACCTGAGGTTTAGTTGAGGTAAGGATGGAGAACTAATCAAATAAGGCCACAAATGTCTCCCAGGGAAGGCTGTGTAACATGGAATAAGTTCTCTGCTGATTCAAATATTTGGCTCTGTGCATAGTGATTTTTAATTAGAAATCAGAGAGTCTTCTGTTTGTGGAAATAATTGAAAGAAGTCTTACATTCTGCTCAGTTACTAATGACTATTTTCTTTTTGTAATGATAATAATACTAGTAGGCTCTCCAATCCTGCTTTTTTGATCTGATCTTTCATGTCAAGTTCAAAAGGTTATTAACCATTTCTTCTTCTCTCTCTGATTTGCACTCAGCTCTTGCCAACAAGTGTTGGCTTCTCAGTGGGTGTCTGCAGAGGCTGGCTGGCCAACTCTTTCCTAGTTGGCGTATTCCCCTCGCCTGATCCTCATGGGAAGGGCAGACTTGCACACTGAGTTGGGGTGCTCAGAGTTAGCAGAGTGATGTTTCTTTTCCGCTCTCCCTTCCTCTTACCCCAGCCCTAGTTCTGTATAAAGCAAAACTGTCTTTTGCATTAAGCAGGCTGTATTTTGAGATGAGAAAAATGATGGTGCTCAGATGTTTTATATGTTAATCCTGAAGTAGACAAAGTCATCAACCTTGACATTCAGTTTACAATTCAGCATTTCAGGACTGGAAAGAGAGGACAGCAGGTAGGGCTCTTGCCTTGCACATGGCTGCCCTGGGTTTGATACCTGGCATCGCATATGGTACCCCCAGCACTGCCAAGAGTGATCCCAGAGCACAGAGCTAGGAGTAAGCTCTGAGCACCTCACTAGGGATGCCTCCCACTAAAATACAGTTTTTTTAGCAAAGGGTTCTAGCCAAGTGCTAGATGGCAATCTCTTCAAAAATATTATGGATATTATAACATAGATACTGCATTCGTAAAACTTTGGGGTGGGTGGGAACACCACACTCAGTGGCACTCAGGTTACTCCTGGCTCTGCACTCCTGGAGGGGTTGGGGGACCCTATGGGACACACTGGACCAAACCCTGGTCAGCTGCATGCAAGGCAAGTGTCCTACCCACTACACTATTGCAGGGGCTGCCTACATTTGTAAAT